GTTATTCTTCTGTCTTCTTTTCAAGCAAAACATTCTCTAAAACTTCTTCTTTTCGTTCTTCGTAATGATATTAGAGTCTGGGTGTTGTATCTTTCCTCTGAACATTAAATTCCCGATCATTGTTTTAAATTTTGTTCCTTTCTTTTACTACAACAACATACCCAGTATATTCCCATACTTGGGGTCTGGGGAGGGTAGTGTTTACGCAGACCTTACCCCTACCTAGTGAAGGTAGAGAGGCTATTTCCCATAGACCCTCGGCTAAGAAGAAGAAGAAGAAGTGGGTGATGAGTCCTCTTGAATTTCTGCTCTTTACCATTTCTTCATCATTTTCTTGCTGTGGTTGTAGAGGTGACCAAATCACAAAATAGTCTGAGTCTACTGGCCATGTGCCAGCCAAAAACAACTATTCCTTATTTCGTTTTATATGACAGCATTTGAGTGGACACAACATTCAAAAAAGAAAAAAAGGCTTTTAGTACATACCCAAAACATGATTAGAAGTTGCGGTTGTAAACATGTCATGTTGTTTTTTTTTGAATGGTAACATGTCATGACATTTCTATGGCTATAGGAGCATATTATTTAGGTAAAATGGGAAGTTTAAAGTTTAAGAATTTCCAAATAGAGAAATATGATCATTCCAAAATGTAAAAGGTGCCATGTAAAATGGAACAGACAGAATTTCTTTTTTTCTTTTTTAATCTCTCATGCTTGATTAAAACTTCATAACATGTGTCTGGAGTGTCTCTACTTTATGATGTGACTTTTCTGTTGAGAAGTCTGACATGGAGCTACTTAAGCTGTAACTGCATTTATTTTCACCCCTCAGCAAGCATATGTGGACACTTCCTCTTTGGATTTTTTTCTATATGCAAATGTCATTCAATAGTGTCCACATTTCATGCTTGTCAAATCCTGTTGTCTTTTTTTACATCTATTCAGCGAATCTGTTTGAATTAGTATCTATTACAAAGTTTATCTCCTAGTTTCTGCAATTTGACTAAAGAAATGTGCATGATATTATGTGCTTTATTGCTGTTTAAGAAGGAGAAAGGAGTTATTCTGGATCATCATTGTTGCTTCTTGTGTAGGAAGCGTCTATTCAGCATGATCAATGAACTACCGACGGTGTTTGAAGTTGTGACAGAAAGAAAGCATGTAAAAGAGCAGCTCACTGCCGATAGTGGGAGCAGATCTCGTGGTAGCACGAAGGTAGGGCCTAGGGGGCAACAATATAACCTTCTCTCTGTTTGTCCTGAATTAGTGGTGCCATTGTATTAATATGCTTAACTCAAAATTTTCAGACTTTTTATGTTCGAGATTAAGACCATAAACTCTACATGTAGTTCCTTATAGTTTCTCTTTCAATAATTTTGTCTACCTCCTTGGCAACTAACGATCTGCCCTTACATTCTGTAGAAATCTACTGATGGACAGGCTAAAAGCACTCCAAAGCTGGGAGATGAAATTTACAAGGAGGAAGAAGAAGAACATGGTGAGACACTATGCGGTAGCTGTGGAGGGAATTATAGTGCTGATGAATTTTGGATTGGCTGTGACATCTGCGAGAGGTGGTACCATGGGCAATGTGTTAAGATAACTCCCGCTAAAGCTGAGAGTATAAAGCAATATAAATGCCCATCGTGCAGCTTGAAGCGGGCAAGACAGTAGTTAAGTGTTATTGATCTGACCATTAACAGAATAGTATAACAATGTTGCATTTGTAATGGTTTATCTTATAGTGATGTTTCTTTACGCTACGCTTGGAAAAGAAATGTAATTTTTATCCTTTAATTCATGTTCGGCTGTTAGCCCAATATATAGAAAAACTTTTTAATTTATTGTAAAGGTTCTGTAATGTTAATGGGTTTGTAGTAGTTGAATAAACTAGTTATTGCATTTGGATTCTTGTTTATGGTTCATCAAAAGAGAGGCTAAAATGGAGGCAAGAACTACATCATCGGTTTGAGAAGGCAGTTTGAGGTCCAGAAAGTTAGAGGCGTTAACTTTATACTGGTCCATACAATTTCTTGCTATTAGTATTCTTAGTTTTTCTTTGAGGGTTGTGATAAGTACTAAACTCTCAATCCTTTACTAAGTCGTCATCATCATTATTATTATTAATTTCCTTTTTTAAACCAAATTGATCTCAACTTGAAAAGGAAATCTTGCATATAATGGGCATTCCTGAACTGACAATCTTTCAAAATCTAGCCACCTTCAGGTTTCTTTCTATGCTTATGTAAAAACTAGTGAAAATTATTTATGAGTTATTGTAAACGAAATTTAAAGAAAAAGGTGTAAGTTTTTTAAAATAATAATTATTGTGTCCTATTTATCTAATTACTCAATTTAGGAAGAAAGTTTGCACTATGTATCTTCTTCCTATAAATATGCAGTATTATGGGTGTGCTTTTATTTTAGAACAATTTTTATATACTTTTACTTATATATGGTGCGTAACTTTCGTAAAAGTTCAAATATTTACATTAGTGCTCAATTTGATGTGTTTATTTCGATTGAAGTGGTAGAATCAAAATAAAATTTAAAATTTTAATATTAGGACTTCCTATCAAATTTTCATTCGGAACGATTCCGTAAATAAAATTTAGTTGATTTCAAAGTCCTAAGAATTAGGGAAAAAATTAAATATTCTTAGAAAAATGATTAAATGACTATTTTGTCTAAAGTTAAATTTATTAAAAGGTAAAAAAGGCAAATGATAAGTACAAAATACACACAATTAAATGCAAATATTCAACACGTGGTAAATTGTTAGAATTCAATTGCCCTTATGTTTGGTGTAGACAAAATAGGGTAGAGTTAAAAGAAAGAGGTTTTTACACGCTTGATCCTTTTTTTAACTATAATTTAAAAAATAACATTATTTATTGTTTATTACATAAAGAATATTTTTTTATTATTAGCATATTATAAAAATTAAGCTCAATATTTAATAAGTAAACTGACTCACTAATCACTGAAAGTACTTTTTTTGTCCATCTCCGTTCTCCCTTTCTAACATTCATCTTCTTCATTCCATTTTTGAAAATCTGATGCATATGTGAATGTCACCTAAATTCAAAATGTATTAATTTATACGTCTTTTATACTTTGTATATCAAGTATCACTTTAATTCAAAATGTATTTTTATGTATATAATTTTTGTATATTTATTTGTGAAGTACCATCTTATTTTGAGAAGTATTTTTAATGTATATTTCAAATATATTTTACATGTCAAGTGCCATTTTAATTCAGGATATTTTTTTTTTGTATATTTATATGCCATCTTAATTAAATTTAAGATATATATATATTTTTATGTATATTTCACATGTCTACGTGTCATCTTAATTGAAGATGTATTTTTTATGTATATTTTTTTTGTATATTTTATATGTGTTAATTCAATGTATATTTTTTTATATATATGTTTTGTATATATTAATATATATTATTATCGAAGTAAGAACTTTATGTTAAGAACGGAAGAAAGAAGGAAGAGAAAAACTTAAGAAAGATAATTAAAAAGAAAACGAATGAAACAAATTTAGAAAATATATTGGTTTCGATAGAAAACAAAATTAAGAAGATGAAGAAAAAGAAGGAAAGCTAATAGATAAAGAGAAAAAAAGGCATGATTTTTGTACAAAGAATTATTGACTTTCCATTCAAATTGCTTATGTTTAGGGATTAATAATTAATATTCCTATTTTAATGAAACTGTGTGCTACAAATATAAATATTTTCCTGCCACGATTATAATATTGAGTTTCATGTGAAGAATTTGTTATATTTCTTTTTAACTGTAACAGTTATATAAAGTTTCCTAAAAGAAAAGTGAAGTTGCCAAAAATGATTGAGATGTGTTGTCGTACCTAATTGTCAAATAATTTTCAACCACATGTAATTTTGAGATTGTATCATGCTTTCTTTGTTTGACTTACAACTACTATCTATCAAGATACAAAATATCACTTCCAACTCAAACTCCTAGATAACGATATCTTAGTGATTGTCCATACATGTTCAACAACGACACTGCAATATGTTTTCGGAAATATTGGATAGTTAAAATCTTATCTTAAGTGATCAAACACGTGGTTTAACTATAATTATTATATATTTTTGTTGTAATAAACTTATAGATACATATATGATAGGATCACACTGATTTTGAAAACGATTAACAAACTAAAAAAGTTAATAAATTATCAAGTTTGCGATATAATGAAAGAGATTGACTCATACTTTGATACTTTTTAATTTTCTTACAGAGGGGAAAAGGACGAGTAGGAGCCAGGGATTTATGTAAGGGAATTCTACAAAATATTAAATTGTCGTCCTTGAAATTTGAAGCTATAATCTGAAATAATTTTGAATCCCAATTGCCACTAAAATAATCCCTTATATTTGGGATTTAATAGTTCATATATCTTTGTATAGTATAATTTTTTAATGATGAAATTTAATCAAACCCCACACGGGATCAGGATCGGGGAGAGGGAGGAGAAGAAGGAGGAGAGGGAGAAGGACAAGGAGGACGAATGAGAGGATCTCAACAAAGTGAAATGATGAAAAATACTCTCTTTATTCCTTTTTTCTACACTACTTCCGTTTAAAAAAGACCGATTTCTTTTTATATTTAAAATTAATTAAACTTTAAACATCTCATTTTACCTTAAGTACATGATTTTGTAGCTACACAAATAACATATCTTATAAGGCCACAAGTAGCAAAAATTTTATAGTGTTTTAAAATCAAAAGTTCCATAGGTATTTGTTTCGTTCTTAATCCCTTGCCTAGTTATACATGTTCACATAAAATAAAACGAAGGGAGTAAAGATAAACAATCAATACAAAAAGAAAAATGTAAAAACTTCACCGAAGAAAGAGACAGATAAATGTGCATAGACCATTTTTCGTACCCTAATTACCAAAAAAAAAAAAAAAAAAAAAAAAAATTATTGACGGGAAAAAGGCAAAGATATATTGAAGTTCCTTTAGTATAAAGAAGCTGAATTTGGCAAAAGCATAAAAGACATGATATGGAAATATCACAATACATGTGCAGTAGTTAAGCACTGGGCATGTATTACCATACATATAGAGACATGACTTCCTAAATACAAAAGGTAATTTAATTATGTTGCCGATTTTAATGATTCAACTTGAGATTTTCCAGAAGGACCTTTGGTTCTGATTAAAGCTCGATACTCATTAAACGTCGTCGGACAATATAACGCCGGCCGGTCTTCTGTCACAAGTTCATTTGCAGGTTTGATGAGCATGTCACCTCCAGGATTGTAGAAGAATGCTAAGGATATACGTTCTTTGGCCGAATTAACGATCACTCTGTGCTCTACACTCTTGTACATTGCATTACTTAATACCTGTGTGGTCATTATAAAAAAATATATTCATATAAAAATAGACAACCATATTCAGATCTAGAATTAAGTGACAAAATAGTTAGTATAAACAATCATGTATATAGTTTTGAGTAGAATTTCCATTTTTTCGTATATATAATTATACATGTTTGGTTTTAAATAACAGTATGCGTTTAAAAACCAAATTATGTAATGAGTATACTAGCTAGTACGGCTCCCAAATGTGGCGACAACATATTGATATGCGCTAGCTTCCTTCAGTGGCGGAGCCAGGAATTTTATTAAGGAAAGTCAAAATATAAAGAAATAAACTTCCCAAGAAATGAAGGGGTGTCATTATATTGTATATATACATATTTTAAAAAATAATTACCAAGCTAAACAATGTAATTTTTCGACGAAGGGGTGCCCTCGGGTGCATGTGGCTCCACCATGGCTCCCCCACTGGCTCCCTTGACAAGCACGTCATTATAACCACGCTCGTAAAAACCCGGATCGGTCAATTCTCTATTCATCCAACTAGAGGTATGAATAACGAGGCCAATTTAGAATATTGGATTGGCTTCAGAGCCCAATTAAGTGCTATGTCATGGGCCAACTCTATAGCGGCAGTGGCTCATAAATAGCCCGTATGGTGCTCATAGTTTCACTTGACCAAGTCTATAGCGGCTAGGTTGTTGGTCAAGTGAGACTTCAGGCGCTGCATGAGCTACTTGATTGTGTGCTGCTACCCCTAGAAAGGGTCCACTAGAAAATGGCAAAGTAATTTTTTTTTTTTAACCTAGCTAGAAAAAGAAGAGAGATATATTTACCTGAATTTGATCTCCAATGTTGACAACAAAGGCATTAGGAACCGGTTTAACAGTTAGCCAATTATCGCCACGACGGACTTGGAGGCCGGAAACGTCGATATCAGGGAGGAGAAGGGTCAGGCCACCAGGATCAGAGTGAGGGGAAAGGCCTAGGGTAAGATCTGGCTGGGGACATTTAGGGTAAAAATTTACTCTTAAGCATGCACCAATTTCGCTGTTTCCTCCAAAGATTTGGTGTAGATAATCCTCATTTAATCTCAGGTTTAATGATAAAATTTTGAGTAACTTTTCGCATAGCTTCGCTACTTCTTGTCCATATTCTGAAATTATTTCCCTGTAAGGTCATAAAAATAAAAATAAATGAAAAAAGGGATAAAGTTAGAAGTCAGAATATGACCAAAAAAATATATACGAGTTTAACTTCTATATATACACCAACAACATAAGATATTTTTATACTATCCGTCATTTAAAAATCTATTACATGTAAGCTTTTATAAACAAGTATGGTTTACTTTTACCTGCTAAAAGTATACTAGTAATTTAACCACTATCGGTAATTCAGAGGCGGAGTTGGGGGAGGGGTTAATTTGAACCTCCTTTTGTCGGAAAAATTACACTATCAATTTTTTTTATCTATACATATTAGGTGCTGAATTCTATTGGCTTTTCCGCGTGCATACATTTTTTTTTTTTTTTTTAATTCCCTTGATGAAATCATGCCTTCACTCTGACTTCAATATATTTTAAATACCATGTGTATTACCACGTTTGACATGTTGTTTGGAAGAATTCTGCTATTGAAAAACACGAGGAAAGGCAACTAGTAGCATATAACTAGTGCAAGGACCATTCGCCAACTAAGGACCACTGTCACAAACCTAGATGTGGATGAAGTTGATAATATATACTTGGATTATAAATTGAATTTTTTGATAAACATGTTGATCCATTAAGTATATATCTCTCGTAAATGATTTTCTTTATTTAATTTTATAATCTTGAAATGTATGATTATCTTATCTAAAAGTTTAAATTATTAAAAAAATAATAATTTATTTAATTAATGACGTCTTCACCATGCCCTTCCACTGAGGTTTTTATTTTTTGATGAACAATAGAAATTCTTTTTGGTAATGGGACATAGCGTGTGACTCGATCTCAAGACTTCTATATGCTCTAATATCATATTTAAGTATTTAAGTGCGTGATCTTTTGTTTATTTAATTATGTTTTCTAACACATATATATAAATATGTATAAGCTAATGTTGAGATCATATCATTAATAAGACAAGTTACCTAGGGCTAAACGATCACTAAATGGGAAAATGCAAAATGAAAGTTCACCTGCATGAAATTGGAAGACTAGGCCATTTGTTCTCATCCTTTAACTTCTCAGGAAGATAATGAAGGAAGAAATAATCACACCAATCCAATTTAGCACCTTTTTCCACTCCAAGCCTACTGCCATAACCTTCATAAGTAATCGGAGAATTTGCAAATTTCTGCTTCTCCTCCGGCGGAAGATGGAAAAACTCGCGCCAAACACCGCGAGTTTTTGCCATCAGCTCATGGCTAACGCCATGATTCACCACCTGGAAAAAACCCCAGTCGCAACAAGCCTGGGAAATGAGTTTGATAGTTTCTTGGCGAACAGATTCATCGCAAGAGTTCAAGTTTTCGAGGTCAATTAATGGGATGTTGGCTTCAGTCTCTAGCAAACATGGTCTGTCCGCTGGACGTTTCACGAAACGGTCAGGGATTTCTTGAATGCCACTTTCCGATAGTTCTTGAACTCTAATAATTGGCTCTGGCCAGCTTTCCAAGCGACTCATTATTCTGTTGTACCTCGTTTATTCAGTACTGCTAACTATTATACGAGGATGTTATTCCTCAAGATTGTCAATATATAGCACAATTTGGACAGGGTGGAAGATAATGATTAAAAGAAACGAAATTGACGTGAGCTTGATCAGAACGTGATTTTCATGGGGAACGGCCGGGGTTTAATGACGTGAGCTGTAACGTACACGAGGATGTTGTCTTTGTAGTACGTAAGATGTTAAATCTCGTGTAGGTTAGATTGTCGTTTTATTGGCCGGGAAGACTGAAGAGAGGGATGTGGAAGTAGAAAATTTAATACTCCAGTGGAGCTATTGGTTGTGGACAAAGGAGGAATTTAGATGATAATGTGAAAGCACTGAAAAGATTTTAATAGTTGTATGTGTGTATACAGTGTCACTGCTAAAGAACAAATATATATATAGAGAAAGAAAGGAGGGCTAAAGATTTGTGGTTTTGGAGTTTGGGTTATCTTGAAGAGTAAGGGAATGTGGTGATAGAAAGACATATTTATATGCCCAAAAAAAGGTAAAACCAGAGATGAGTTTGAACGCCGTGATGGTCTTTACTTCTCCTTTCCAGGGAAGGGACGTACCTTCACTACTCTCTATAACAATATTCATATATAATACATAGTATTTATTTAATATAAAAATTAAATTTTTTTCAGAATCGATTTTTATGTTATGTTATAATATATATTTTCTATAACATCACTACTCTATAGCATCCAAAAAATATCGTAACAAGCGAGACTCTTATAAAGACGTAATATAAATTATGGAATCAGCCTAACTTAATAATTTTGATTGAGACCTTATATAATATGTTAGAAACTTTAATGAATATGTATAAATATTAAATTTTGAAGAAAGTAACTGAAGTATAGTGAATTCAGTAACATTATGTATTATGAAATATTATAAGCACACTTTAATTAGGTAACGTCTATTATGAAATATTATAAGCACACTTTAATTAATTGTCAGTAGTGGAAGACAAAAGGATAATATATCAGAGGGCTGCAAAACTTAATTCTGCATATGCAAAGTATAACTTTTGTTTTCATCCAATTAATTCTCGGCCGAAATAAGAGAAAAATTGCAATTTTAAGCCTGGTTCACGTATTGGCGCATTGTATCCATCTGCCTAAGAGTCCGTCGTTCACATTGTTAACTAACACCGAGGTTTTTTTTATAACGATTGATGTCTAGATTGATTTGTGCGCACCTTATGATTTTACTTGAGTAGATACTCTATATCTTTTCTGTTGGAAAAGCCAGGTTCACAAGATGTCCCTCTCGTATCAGGGTTCCAAATCTCGCCTCGCTCTTGTGTTATTGTTTACCCGTAAATGATATCATTGAATTTGTTATGTGATTAATAGATAAGCGAACTGATTTGACTCAAAATAATAAATAAATTAGATAAAAAAATAAGACTTATCATTAAAGTCAAAGGAAATGGCAGGCCTAGCTCTGGGAGCGATGCTTCCAAGGGCAGAAGTAAGAAAGGAACAATATTCAACAAAGAGTAAAGTGATATTATTTTTCTTGAGAACAAAGTACTATAGCATGAGTTTTGCTAGAGATTTCGTATATCCTACAATGGTTGTTGAAGTACCTATTTATAGCTATAAGTAGGAAACAAGATCCTAGGATTAAACCCTTTTTAAATGACAATAATGGGGACCATTGATGAATATTATATAACGGTAGGTCATGGATGCCAAAATTCTCTACAACGGCTGTCTATTTAATACTGAGAAATATTCTTCATTAAATGTCATGTGGTGACAAATATTCCCGTTAACTGCGTTCCCTACGGGATCTACACGATACCAACCAAAGTTGTCATCGGTCTTGGTTTTCACTTGATTCATACGATACCAACCAAAGTTGTCCTCGGTCTTGGTTTTCACTTGATTCATCTTCCGCCTGCATCCGGTTCCATATGAATGCAATCATTCGCGCATTTAATATAAACCAATTTTACCCTATACAGTTATACTATAATTTTCCTTTTTATTCCCAAGGAAAGGGTGAGTCCATGCTGTTGGTATATTCCTCTTTAGGCGTTATACTTTAATTTGATAATGCATTAAATAATAAAGAACTTCTAATATACAATTAATCTGTGGTTAATTCTCATACCTCTCCACCATTAATTTTTGTAACATATCTAGATTGAATGTATTTACAGAGTGGGAGAATGAAGTTAATACTTCATACATGGTTCACATTCATTCATTATGACGGTTTCTTAATTTTTGTGACTTCGTTTATGAAAAGATATTAGCTTTTCAGAAAGTTTGAAGTTACGGTCTGTATGACAATTTTGTCATTAAGACAAGAATAATGTTACATAATATTAACTCCCATTGGATTCTTACATTTTTTTAATGGAAGAAACTATAGACGATTTGCCTATATAAGCATCATCATTTGTGAACTAAATAACCAACCAAAAATATTATTCTCTCATCCTCTCAAAAGGCTATTCTTCTTTCTATTTTTTTCGGGCAATTTTTTTTTTGCAAACTCCAAATTTTCAGTCACGAGTGTACGTGTTTGGAAGTACTGTGGAACCTTGGGGAGAGACCGGTCTTAACAATTTGTACCAATTAGACCGAAATCGCTTTCAAGACAGTACCTTGCCATGACACAATATTTATTCGGTAAGTTATTTTTATTCTTTTATTATTCTTGGTCAATATTATCAACCATTTTTCTAACAATTTGAAAGCGATTTCACGTATAATATTGATCAATGGTGACCATTTTGATTAAAACTCTTCCCGATTTGTTAAAGCTTGAGCCTTTGGATGGAAACAATTATAAGTGTTGGTCCTAGAAACGTTTGATTTTCTTCGAACAATTAGAAGTTGATTATGTTTTTTTTTCAACGAACCTTCTGCTAATGTTATTTCTAATACTACTGTTGTTGTTGATGGTTCTAATACTACTGTTGCTATTGTTGTTGATGATGCTGCTAAAAAAAAATTTGAAAAAAATAATAAAATTATTTGAGGACATCTGCTTAACCATATGACTAACCCTCTATTTTATTTATTTATAAATTATAAATCTGCTAAAGTCATATGGGACAGTTTGAAGAAGAAATAAGGCGCAGATGATGCGGGAAAAAAGAAGTATGTATTTGGAAGGTGGATCAAGTTCCAAATGGTTGATGATAAGTCAATTAAGGAGTAGGTTCACGAGTATGAGAATTTAACTGTTGATGTTCTGAACGAAGCCATAGAGATGTGTGAGATTCTTCAAGCTAATGTTTTACTTGAAAATTTCCCTCCTTCCTGAAGTGATTACAGGAACTAACTCAAGCATAAGAAGAAGAACTTAACTCTCCAAGAACTGATCAGTCATATGAGGACTGAGGAAGTAAACCGTCTCTAAGATAAAGAGACAGAACGTATTAAGGATAAGATGGAATCTCTCTCTCTCCNTGAAAAGTTTCCACCTTCCTAGAGTGATTACAGGAATCAACTGAAACACAAGAAGAAAAACTTAACTCTTCATAAACTGATCAGTCACATGAGGACTGAGGAAGAAAATCGTCTTAAAGATGAGGAGTCTGAACGGCGTGAAGATAAGATGTAATCTCTCTCTCTCTCTCTCTCTCTCTCTCTCTCTCTCTCTCTCTCTCTCTCTCTCTCTCTTAATTCTTCTAAAGCTAATCTTGTAGAATCTTCTAATACTTCTGTGAAAGACAGGTTTAAAGGCAAGCAGAACAAAGGCCAAAAGAAAGAATATCTAAAGAAGTAGAACTACTTTAATAAACCGGACGACCAAATCCAAAAGTCGAAAGGACCTTGCTATGTCTGTGAAAAACTTGGTCACGGGGCTTTCTAATTCAACTAAAGACAATAATAAAGCTCGAAGCATGGAGGGAAAGCTCCCGTCCAAGCTAACCTTACTGAAAGTGGTGATGTGATTGTTGTTGTGGTCGTTGAGGCAAATATGGTGGCTAACAAGACTAATTGGATACTGGACACAGGCTCTTCGAGGCACCTTTGCGCCAACAAAAAATTGTGCCATGACTTTGAGGAGTCTATCGATGGCGAGTGTGTCTACATGAGTAACTCCACTACGACTGGAGTTATGGGTAAAGAAAAAATACTTCTTAAGCTAACTTATAGAAAAACTTTAGCCTTACGTTCGTAGAAACTTTAGCCTCCATTCGTAGAAACTTAATTTCTGGTGCACTTCTCAACAAAGCCGACCCTAAACTTGTTTTTGAATCTAATAAAATTGTTATTTCTCGTGGAGAAGACTTTGTTGGGAAGGGTTACCTCAATGGAGGTTTATTTGTATTGAACATTGTTCAATAGATTACTAGTAATGCAAGTACTTTTAATTATGCTTATATTGCTGAGTCTATTGATTTGTGGCATGATAGGCTATGTCATATTAATATTGCTTCTATAAAAAGACTTAGAAAATAGAATTAATTCATGCGGTTAATGTTGATAATTTTTCTAGGTGTCCTGTTTGTATAGAAGCAAAATATACCAAGCCTTTTAAAAATGTAACTAGTAGAAAGACAAAATTGCTTGAACTAGTACATTCAGACTTAGCTGATTTCAAGAACATTGTTAGTAAGGGTGGAAAGAAATACTACATTTCTTTTGTAGATGGGACTTTTGGAGATACACTAAGGTATATCTTCCTAAGTCTAAGGATGAGGCTGAAAGCATATTTTTAAAATACAAAGCAGAAGTAGAAAATCAATTAGACAGGAAAATCAAGAGACTTAGGTCTGATAGGGGTGGTGAATACAGTGCTAATACTCTGGAAGCTTTTTATGAGAAAAATAGTATGATCGATACATGATGTTAGTGCTCCCTATACTCCCCAACAAAATGGTGTAGCCGAACGAAAAACTCAAACTCTTAAAGAAATGACGAATTCTATGCTTTTGAGTTCAGATTTATTTGACAAGATGGGGAGGGGGGAGCTGTCTTATCTGCATGTTATATTTTTAATAGAGTCCGTCATAAGAAGTTAGATAACACTCCTTATGAGTTATGAAAAGAAATTACACCTAACTTAAAATTTAAAAAGTATGGGGTTGTTTGGCTAAGGTTGGTCTACCTTATTTTAAATAAATAACTGTAAGACCCAAAACTTTTGATGCCATTTTTATTGGTTATGCTCAAAACAGTGTTGCATATAGATTTTTATCTTTGAATGATCATTCTATTTGTGAATCTAGAGATGCATAATTTTCTGAGCATATTTTTCCATTGAAAGATAATGTTCCTACTGATGTGCCTAATAATACTTCTATGTCTGTTAATTCTCATATTGTGCCTTCTTCTAGTATTACTACTAATGATCATGAAAATGAACTTAGAAGGAGTAAGAGACGTAGGATTGAAGCTAGCTTTGGTCCTGACTTTATCACTACTTTTTTGACTGAAAATATTGAGCTTGAACTTTTGA